CAGGGAGATCCCACAAAACACAGCACAGCTCACCTCCTCTGGGCTCTTTCATCTCTGCCACTTCTCCTCTCCCTGCTTCTGGTCCTGGCTCATCAGCTGCTGCAGTACTGGTGTGACCCCTCTGATGGCGGCCCTGCATGGCTCTGTCCACCGCTGCTCAAAAGGACCCTTCTTCCGGTGGGCAGTGCCGCCCCCCTAAAAATTGCCACCCTAGGCGAACGCCTTGTTTGCCTCGTGGTAGATATGCCCCTGATCACATGCAGACATGCATATTAAAGGGCTGTCAGTATTTTTTGATTGTAGGAGAAAAACCTGTGCAAGTGTATCATTACCCAGCACTACCGCCTGCGTGCTGAGAAATTTTTGGGTTCCCTGTCTTGCCTGATCCCGACTCTTAAAGCCCCACCCCTACTGACACCACCTTACCACCCCGGTCACATCAAACCCTACTTTGCAATCATGCAGCTTACTCAAACCTAAACAACACTTTCAGTTGTATCCAATTAGGCAGGCCATTGCACTACATAGTTGAAGGTAAATCTAAAGGAATTTGGGCAGAAATTGGACAGAAAATTGTATAGTGTATGGCCAACCTTAATCAGAGAAGTTCATTGTTAGAGTTTAACCATCTAGAGTTCCCAGAATGCAATATTTTTCCCTTTAGCGATCCTTTTAGACAAGGCTGAGAAATGTACAATCTAGTTGATATGTATGCTTCGGCGGTCTGGCTCAGGGGATCTTCCCTGCGTTCACATACAATGGTGCTAATACATTCAAACTTTATAATCCGTGTCCGCCAGCAAGACTGCTTATTTTTAAGGTGGCGCCCCCCCCCCCCCCTCCATCCCCCATCACGTATTATGAGATAATTTAGCAGTTTTTACAAGTATAATGGAGCCCATCACACTAGAGAAACGCTGCCTTTGTGATCTTCGGACTCCCTGCCGTCACAGAACCGTACACTGCAAAAAAAAAAACTTATTATTTCTAAATATATCCATCTGAAAAGCTCCCGTTTCAGCATCCAGCATAGCCAGCTAACCAGATTACCCTCCACTTTACAGCCGGATCTATAGAGGAAGGCGCACATGCAGCCATATTGATAAGCGCCGGCTCGCGCCTTGTTGGGGGGATAAATATCACTTCCCGGGGTTAAAAACACATCTCTGTGATGTCTCGAGAAATTGGCATCTGTGTAAGAGCATCTGAAGTCCCCTCTCAATATATTATCCGCTTTGTGTTCCAATTTCAACTTTAATTTCATGGCTAAACAGCTAACCTGCGAGCTGTAATTGCCGTGACTGGCATAAGAAATCCATCATCTCCCGACGCCGCGCAGCATAAAGCCACGTGGCATGCACTGATATCGCTAATAAAAAAAAAAAAGATCCAGCATTAGACAGATTTAAACTTCTTGACTTCGTTTTACATCGGCAAACTTATTTCCAGCCGAAATAAGATCATGGACGCTCTGCCTGGCAGAGATACGGAGCTATTCTGATACATTTTCTGCTGTTTCTTTCCCTTTATGAGATAAGACCTCCAGGAACAAGGCGATCAAACGTATTAAATGTTCCGGGCGCAGCTGACTCTGCGTTTAAAGTCACTTTGCTAAACCCTCGTAGACCGGGAATTAAACTGCCAGCTTTGGTAGCCTGTGAATATGGAAGTGGTAGAATGGGGGATTCGTTTCTTTATCGAAAGCTTTTGCGCATTGAAATGTTGCGTTAGCGGGAATTGTGCGGGATTTATGTCTACAGAAAACATGGGGAGGCTTTTAGTAGGATACTGTCAAGATAAAGCCATCCGAAACGATACACATTTAAAGGGTAATTACTCCCCCTTCCCCGAAAAAAATATAGAAAATCAGGAAAATAATATGTTATAAAGCAATGTTTCTCAACCTTTTTTCAGTCAAGGCACCCTTTAAAATTATGGACAGTCCCGAGGCACCCTTTAAAATTATGGGCAGTCCCGAGGCACCCTTTAAAATTATGGGCAGTCCGGAGGTACCCTTTAAAATTATGGGCAGTCCCCAGGCACCTTTTGAAATTAAGGACAGTCCCCAGGCACCCTTTAAAATTATGGATAGTCCCGAGGCACCCTTTAAAATTATGGACAGTCCTGAGGCTCCCTTTAAAATTATGGACAGTCTTGAGGCACCCTTTAAAATTATGGACAGTCCCGAGGCACCCTTTAAAGTTATTCACAGTCCCGAGGCACCCTTTAAAATTATGGACAGTCCCGAGGCACCCTTTAAAATTATGGACAGTCCCGAGGCATGCTTTAAAATTATGGACAGTCCCGAGGCACTCTTTAAAATTATGGACAGTCTTGAGCCACCCTTTAAAATTATGGACAGTCCCGAGACACGCTTTAAAATTATGGACAGTCCCGAGGCACCCTTTAAAATTATGGACAGTACCGAGGCACCCTTTAAAATTATGGACAGTCTTGAGGCACCCCATTCTAAAATGTGAAAAAGGATTCTAATAGTTTTATATGACGCAGCAACATCCACACATGTAGGACACCCAACACTAGAGGGGATTTATTCTTCCAAAGCAAATACACTTTTGCGCACTGGTACTGACTAGTATTCCAATGTTTCTCCTCTCCCTCAGTTTTTCTCCATCACTGAGCTAATGTGACCCCAGCACGGATGGAGAGGGGCGGGGGAGGGTCAAACTAGGATGCTGTGCAGGCAGCTGACATCCTCACTATCAACTGATGATGTCATTGGTTGTCAGGATGCCGGTGGCTAGAAGGTCATAATGGTGCACAATGAAAACCTGTGGCTTTGTGTAACTAAAAGGCAGGCTTGTTCCGCCTGCTGGCTTGTATTCAAGTTTTGAGCAATTTTTAGACGTTTTGCCAAGGCACCCCTGAAGAATCCTCCAGGCACCCCAGGGTGTTATAAAGGATTGCTACACAAGCCATATTGGCATTTAGCCCGTGTTCACACTTGTGCGGTGTGGAATTCGCACCGGTTTCTGTGCGAATTTTGCACCTCATCATAATCTCACCCCGTTCATGCGAACCACTGAGGGTGTGTATGTTAAGTTAACAACACCCCGAAATCGGTTTGCAAAATGCGGTGTGATGTGCAGAATCGGATCGCATGTGTGTGAACACGGTGGAGAGGAGGGGGCGTGTTGTAACTTTCCTGGGCTGAGGAAGGGAAGGAAGGATGACTTGCAGAGAAACGGAAGCTGCAAGGAGACACAGTGTCAGCCATTCCAGAACATTCAAGGGTGCCCTGAATGCTGGTTGAACCTGCTACCTTATTGATGAGCCGGATGCTGAGGACACTGACTGGGGTGCACTTTGCCAGTGAGCAGAAAGAGATCCCTTGCTGAAAGAGAGTGGTGAGAGGCCGATGGCCCACCCTGTGCTACATCTTGTGTGTGCATATATATCAGAGGCGGACTGACAACTCATGGGGCCCCCGGGCAATAGGGGATCATGGGGCCCCTCTGTCCTTGCCCACACTCAAAACACACCCAAAAAAGCCTATAAAAAAGTACCAGGGGCATTTCATGGGGCCCCCTACTGATCCCGAGCCCTCAGGCAGTGCCCGAGTGCTCGAATGGTCAGTCCACCCCTAATATATATATATACCCAGTGGTGTATTTAGGTTTTGTGCTGCCCTAAGCAGAACAAACATTGGTGACCCCCCACAGAAAGAGCCTGACACTGACCAAGAACACCCTTGCCCGCCACCTGCGCCTTCCACTACCACTGCCCCCCCATGCACCAGCCACCATCCCCCATGGCGAGAGAGAGAAGGGCACTCACCTTCACAGCTTCGGACATCCCCGGTAATGAGAGTCGGGCTGTGCATACACCGTCATGAAACCAGCAGCCTCTCTCGGAACCCACCAGGTCCCCAAGCTGTGTGTGTCCCCTTCTTCCGACCCTTCTTCCAAGGGGCAGTGTTGATCCCCCTGAAAAATGCCGCCCTAGGCAAATGCGTTGTTTGCCTTGTGGTAAATACACCCCTGGGTACATACCGTACCTCTCCCTAATTAGGGTTGCTCAGTCAGGATTCAGGAGGGTTTGTGTTTTATAACAATTATTGTTTCTGAAGCATATTACTACTGCTGCTTAACCACTGTAGTATTATTCTCAGAAGTTTATTCATTACAATGTAATTCTTCTTTGCTTACCTTGCTTCAATACACTTTTTGCTATTACTTAACCAGTTGCTGTCATTCCTGGTGTCTATGCACCTTGAGTCTTCTTTGGGTTGTATATACAGCTACCTGCAATGAACTTTCCCCATCCCAGCTGGGTGTATCAGAATGTGTGGCACTGTTCCCAGAGTCATATGCACAGGAACAGGGGACCCAACAAATCAAATTACTTCTTCAGCGGTAATGGCTGCATGTCACAAGATGTTGTAGAACAACTGTATTTTTTTTATTTTCAAAGCCACCCTTGAGCTTCTGTCCAGTGACTTTGCCTAGGCTATGATGATCTATTTAGGAGGGAATAAATACTTGGAAGTGTACTTACAAAATATATCTGATGACAGGTCCACTTCAAGCTCTGATGCTATGCAAAAACTCACACAAAAGGGTCTACATTTGCATAGCCATTCATCCAGCAATCTGCATGTACTTTTACCCTGTGCAAATTCAGAAAAAAATGAATGTCCTTTAGTCCGGGTTCACACCAATGCGGTCCAGAATTTGCAGCGTTTTCTGTGCGAATTCCGCACGGCATCAGAATTGCACACAGTTCATGCAAACCGCTGCGGGTGTGTATGTTAAGTTAACAACACCCTGAAATCGGTCCGCAAAACACGGTGCGATGTGCAGAATCGGATCGCATAGGTGTGAATTACCATGCAATCCAATTCTAGTGCGGACCAAAAAAAGGGTCCTGCACATATGTGGTGTGGGTACGGTGTGATTAGAGCCATACAAAATGTATGGCTCCAATCGCATCGCACACAAGTCGCATGTGATTTGCACAGGAATGCGGTGCGGTTCCTGTGTGAATCACATGTAATATACTGCACTGCATATATGTGAACCTGGGCTAAGGCTATTTTTTGTTCCAAGTGAATATTTTTTAAAATTATGGACAGTATTTATTACAGGAGCTCCTGCACAGATGTAAAATTTAACACTGGATTGCTGCATAAATATGGAGAAAATACACAGAGCACACCAGATTCAAGGAAGAATACACACAGCTCTTGTGTTTAGAAAATATTTGCTTATCCCAGAGTTCAGCTTTAAAGTGAAACCCTACTTTGTCTTGTCAGCAATTCATCCAGCGAATGTACATTTGTTCTGTATGAATGGGGCAAAAACTAATGTTCTTTGGGCTTTTTTCTCTTCTGAATGAATGTTCTATTATCATGGACAGTAGTAAATACTGCTTTATGGCCACTAGATGGAGCTGAGGAGCAAATGAAAAAACACATCTTTGTAACAAGAGATGCAATGTAACAATTTTAGAGAACATCAGAGGGAATTAACAAATACATGTAACCAATGGTTTTGCATTTATATATTTATTTGCTAATTCCCTCTAGTGTTTTTTTATAAATAGTTACATTGTTTTTCTTGTTACAAATATGTACAGTAGGTAGTTCCTATGTTTCCCAGCTCCATCTAGTTGCTAAAATGTTATATTTTACTACTGCTCATAAAAAAATAAAACATTTGTTTGGAAGAGAAACTTTCCTAAAAAATAGCTTTTGCCCAATTCACATAGAAGACAGGGCTGGATGAATTTCTATGATTTGTTTTTATAAATACAGCAGGCTTTCAGTTTAAAGCTGAACTCCAGGATAGTTAAATATTGTCTAAATACAAGAGTCATGCATATTCTTCCTGGAATCTTGGTGTGCTTTATGTATTTCTTCCAGATCTGTGTAGTAATCGTGTGTATATAGGAGCTTCCTGTAATAAAGACCAGTCACAACTGTTCTCCCCTTGTGCAGGGTGACCGGTCTTGTCTCCACCCCTCCTGTATTTTTCTGCAGGCAGCCTGTAGTGGGTGGAGTCTGCGGAGCCCCTCCTACAGCTTTACTCTCTGTACAGGGTATGTACAGCACAGTAATAATGTCACTGATATGTTTACAAGGTAGTACTTGGGGTTACAAAAGCCTTAAAACCTATAAAAGAATGATGACCGGGTGGCCCTTTCATCTCTCCGGGTGGACGTTATATGATATCCTCCTTGTCTTGCCGCGCAGACACAGCGCTACACGGGTCAAGGGGGCGAAATTGCCCCCTAGGTTATTCCTTACCCTCCTGTGTGCCCCCCCGCTAAATGAGGCGGAACTACCGGGGGTCCCAACAAGTTGGCCCTGGCATTCCAGCACCTGGGAGGGGAGCCCTGACAAGTGGAATGGGGGCCCCACTGCCATCATAGGAAGTATGGGGGCTCCTCTTGCATGCCCAAGCACCTGTACACCCAGTGGCATCGCTAGGGGTTGTGGACTGCACCCAGGTGAAACCCATCAGAGGGGTAACACCCAGGAAGATCTTTAACGTGGGGCAAAAGGGCAAATGGAGGCCCCAGCATTCAGAGGAGGAAGATGTAACTGTCCAGTGTACCTGTCACCATAGCATCAGTGCAGTCTTTCAATGTACCTTGTCACCACAGCCATCAGTGCAGCCTATCATGCCCCTAGAATGCCTGAAGGTGCTCCTTGGATTTTAAGCCTCTTTATGTGGCTAGGATGTGAAAAAGTTTCACACGTGTGGTATCCTCTTACTCAGGAGGTGTAGCAGAATGTATTTTAGGGTGTAATTCTAGGTATGTCCATGCTGTGTTAGAAATATTTTATAAATTGACAACTTTGTGTTAAAAAAAAAAGTAATTTTTCATTTTTCTTTTCACATTTTCCAAAAACCTGTGGGAAAAGATGACATGTTCAAAAGACTCAATATGCTTCATAAAATATTCCTTGTGGTGTTTGCTTTCCAAAATGGGGTCATTTTGTGGGTGTTTCTGCTGTCCTGGTGCTCCAGGGCTTGTAAAAAGTGATAGGTAGTCAAGAAATTAGATGTGTAATATATGTTACTAGAAGGCCTAAAGGTGCTCCTTGGATTTTGGACCTCTCTATCTGGCTAGGCTGTGGCTCACACATGTGGTATCCCCATACTCAGTAGGAGTAGCAGAGTGTATTTTGGAGTGTAATTGCAAGTATGCCTACGCCGTGTGTGAGAAATAGCTTGTTAAAAATGACAATTTTGTGAAAAAAAACACACTTTATTTTTTTCATTTTCCAAAGAATTGTGCTCTTACTAAATACCTTGGACTGTCTACTTTTGAAAAAGGGGTCATACAGGGCAGCACGGGTGCGCAAAATCACGTGTATATACGTGATTTTGCATTTACGGGTAGAGGGTGCGTGCAAGGCACATGAGCGCCCTACCCGCGCTGCCATTTGTGGCCGTGGCTGTCAATCACCGGGTCCCTGCCGGTGATTACTCGCTGGCGCCCGGTGATTGCCAAGGATCTTGGATGTGGAGAACTATTTGTAACCAAAACAATTCTCCTCCCTGTCGGCTCATGCACACTGCTTTGGATGGCTGTGCAGAGCAAACTTTTGAAAAAATAGAAACTAAGAAAAACATTTTTTTTTCAACATTTTGGGTATTTTTTCGCCTACATCACAAAAAATTAAAAACCCAGTTGTGATTAAATACCACCAAAAGAAAGCTCTATGAAAAAAAATTAGTTTGGGTACAGAGTTGCATGACTATTTGTCATTCAATGTGTGAGAGCACTGAATGCTGAAAATTGGCCTTGGCAGGAAGGGGGCAAAAGTGCCCAGTATGGAAGTGGTTAATAAACACAAAGCAAATTTATATGTGTTGTTGCTATCGAGGAATATATTCAAATTTTTGTTTTTTTTTTTTCCCCCGGAGTTTAACTTTAAGATAAAATTTGAAAAGCTCTTGTATGCATCCAGCATGTCCTGAGAAGTGTAATTACAGGTTCACCGGTCCATTCAGAATAATTTCGTTCTGGCATTGCTAATCGCCAGGTGACAGCCCTCCGTTCTTGCATCCATCCAATAGATGTGTAATTTATGTCCCTAGAAGGCCTGAAGGTGCTCCTTGGATGTTGAGCCTCTCTATCTGGCTAGGCTGTGTCTCACACATGTGGTATCCCTATACTCAGGAGGAGTAACAGAGTGTATTTTGGAGTGTAATTGCAAGTATGCCTACGCCGTGTGTGAGAAATAGCTTGTTAAAATGACAATTCTGTGGAAAAAAAAACACATTTTATTTAATTTCTTCATTTTCCAAAGAACTGTAGAAAAAAATTACAATTTTAAAAAAACTTGCCAGTCCTCTTACTAAATACCTTAGACTGTCTACTTTTCAAAAAGGGGTCATTTGGGGGGTATTTGTATTGTCCTGGCATTTTAGGGCCTCAAGAAATGAAATAGGCCACCAGTACATCAGGAGTGATCAATTTTAAATGATACATACTATAGCTTCTAAACTCTATAACTTTCACACAGACTAATGCCCAAGCACCGGTACACCCAGTGGCATCGCTAGGGGGTTCGGACAGCACCCAGGTGAAACCCACCAGATTTAACCCATACACTGATTCAGGTTATTTTTATACCAAAGATATGTAGCAGTATACATTTTGGCCTATATATATATATATGTGTGTGTGTGTGTGTGTGTGTGTGTGTGTGTGTGTGTGTGTATGTATGTGTATGTGTGTGTGTATATATATATATATATATATATATATATATATATGATGAATAAAACTACTTATATGCAAAATTTTATAATAGAAACTAAAAAAAGTGGGGGTTTTTTTTTCAACATTTCGTGTATTTTTTCGCTTATGTCACAAAAAAAAATCCCAAGTGGTGATTAAATAACACCAATAGAAAGCTCTATGATAAAAATTTAGTTTGGGTAGAGTGTTGTTGAGTATTTGTCATTCAAAGTATGAGAGCACTGAAAGCTGAAATTTGGCCTTGGCAGGAAGGGGGTAAAAGCAGGGGCATATTTACCACAAGGCAGTTGCCTAAGGCGGCATTTTTCAGGGGGGCAGCACTGCCCCCTGGAAGAAGGGGCACTTGCGGCATGGGGACCAGGTGGGAGCCGAAAGAGGCTGTGGACTGCTTGATGGTGTATGCAGAGCCCAACTCTCGTTCCCAGGGATGTCCGGTGAGTGTCTTTCTCTCTGAGTGGGGGGGCAGGGGTGTTGTTGGTCAATGTCAGGCGGGGGGGGGGTCCAATTTTTGTGTTGCCTAGGGCAGCACATAACCAAAATACACCACTGGGTAAAAGTGCCCAGTATGGAAATGGTTAATAAACACAAAGTGGATTTATATGCTTTGTTGCTATCGAGGAATATATTCACATTAATGTTTTTTTTCCCTGGAGTTCAACTTTAAGATAAAATTTGAAAAGCTCTCATATGCATCCGGCAGCTCCTCTCTGTGCATAGCCTGAAAAGTCTAATTACAAGTTCACCGGTCCATTCAGCAGAATTTCGTCCTGCCATTGCTAATCACCAGGTGACAGCCCTCCGTTCCTGCATCCCTCCAATATCCTCAATACCAAGCGAGTCAATTGAAAATGAAATAAAAAATCATTTTTCCAGCAGCCATGCCCTTCAATTAGCGTCGATGCTGAACCATTTCGGTTAAACGAGATGCTCTAATTATAATTTACATCTGGCCAGATCTGTTGACTAAACATAACTCTTACGTACAGGAGGTTATTAAACTCTCGTGGAAGATGCTTAATGAATATATTCACCGGAAAACTCTGACAAAAGCGCTAAATTATTGGCACAAGGCCGGCCGCGACGCCTGGCGTGGAGTTTACGAATTTAGCTTCCGGTAGATTAGGCAGTTTTATTTTTTGCGCGTTTTGAAGACTCTGCAGCTGAGGTATTTGATAAAAGAGAAATTGCTCCGTGAAAAGCAAATCTATGTGAATTCAGGTTTCAGACAGCTGCGACTTATTTTGGAATTGAATAGATCAGCGTTTATTACTGTACAGTTACAGCAAAACAAACAATTTGTTATTGCTAAATCAAATGAGAAAAATCGTTTTCTGCGGTGTAAGCATAGAAGATTGTAGACACGTGATCGTCACATTTATATTCTCCCCGACGCTAGGATCCTAGGACGCTAGACTCCGCCCA